CGTGGACACAAACTACATCTTTCCAGTGTGGATGAGGATGCTGTCCCCTTGTGGATGATGCTCACAGTCTTAGCTGCTGCCTGCAAAACTGAGCAGTGCCCTTCAGCCAGTTTAAGGTGGTGTCTGGTGCAGTGCATTCATTTAACATTACTAAAGGACAAAATTAAGGTTCTTTTTGTATCTCATGCCCCTGTCAACTAAATCTTTCCCAGAAAAGAGGCAAAGCTGAGGTCATTTTTTTCCATCTGTGAGGGGTCAGTGACTGCAACAATCGTTCCTGGCTGAGGCATAAGCCTGTAAAAAACACCTATGCTAGCAGCTGAATCATTTTCTAGGCCAATTTTTTATGTTTCAACTAATGAAAACAGCTGGGTCATTAAATCCAGCAATCGATCTCCAATTATAACCTGTCTTGGACAGCACGGCGCCCTGCCCCGGCAGGTGCCCTCCCCGCAGACAGACCCCCGACCTCGGCCTCTGCCTCTGCCCTGAGACACCAATTTGCTGCCCCATCCCACACCCACTTTCTTGCTTTTCTAGGAGCACAAATTCCTCCCCAAAATATCACTGCCATGGCACGGGGGCTAATTGTGCTATCCAGCATTCACGGTGCTGTGTGGACTGAGGCCACCGTACGTTCGGTCTTTCCAGCTGAGAAGCAGATCTATGGTTAAAAAAGGTGTGGTTCTGCTTGGAAACAGAGGCAGTGTGTGCAGGCAGTGATGTAACTGTAAATCTATCGGGGTTTTCTTTCACTATTATTATCTGAGTCTATCAACAGAATAAATCAAATTAAAGTGACCAAAATTCCAGATACCTGCTAGCTGGATTCTTTCTTTCCTCCTGAGAAAGTGAGAGTACGATATGTGGCAATTGCTGGAGCATTTTTATGAAAAGATTTTCAATCTTTTCAGGGTCTGCACAGGAATAAAAAAAAAAAAGTTAAATGGTTGACATTTAATCTTCATACAGCGAATAATAATTACAGGCAAGAATTTAAAGTGGTTTTGCTCATAGTCAAATCTGATGGTTCTTTCCTCCTTGCATTTCATGAGGATTTACTGTACTGTGGATGCAAAATGTAAATGATGGGCAATTCCGTGAAATTCAGACATGCACACAAAACTGTCTTTCCAACTTTTTCACACTTACCCTCAAACTGAAAATGGATTTTCCTGGTGGCTGATTAACCAGAAATGAGTTGTTTCTAACTAGATTGAGGGGAGGAGGGTTCTGTAATATTGGATTAGTGAAAGGAGTGAACAGCTTCAGTTTAATTCAACTAGTCTTCTATTTTTAATCTCCAAGGAAACAGCTGACTTGAATGTTAATTAAACAGCAGTCTTTGATCCACCCAGCCACTCCCGGAGGCATAATAATAATATATAAGGGCACAGCAGCAAATATATAATAGGTACACTTAAAGGAGTGCATCTAATCTCACCATATTCACATTTAAAACATTCCTTGCCGACCCACTCTTATGTTATTTAAATAGGGGAAGGGGAAAAGAGGGGAAAATGCTAAGTAAGTTAAACTTTGATGGTCTGAAGGTAGGGCAGCAGAGCAAGTGTGAGTTCCTGTTTTGAGGATGTATAAGGGTTAATGATTAGAAGAGTGGAATCAGGAAAGACCTTAAGCCCAGATCTATGACAGTGGTAATTGAGCTGATTGATTACGACATCTCGTTTCAGACGACTATTGATTTAATCTAGTCTGCAGTCCCATTGGCCCCAGAGGTGCTCCCGAGTGAGGCTCAGCACTTGAACCTGGGTACTCTTCCCTTCTCACCGTCTGGATATAAATTTCCAGAATCTTGCAACCATTTATAATTTTCACTCATCTTCTCGTGCTTTTATTCAGAAGCTTCTAATTTCATCAGGCTAATGTTTTTAACCGTTGAGGGGACAGACGCAGGGAACATGAAATGGCACAGACTGAAAAGGGTGGGTTTTTTTGAAAAAAAAAAAAAAAAGGCAAGGCAGAGAGCCGGGACTATGTGGCTAGTATTTGCATCTGTTGTTTCTGATTCGCAGAGCTAGCAAAGGCTGCTTTTGGAGGCAGTCCACAAAGCTGGGCTATCAGTAGGCAGTTTGCTGTACGCGCACGTTCAATTATTAAAATAGTAGACTTTTTTTTCTGTCTGATAGCCATAGCGAGGTCATGACATTAATTTATCCAGGGTATTGTGGGTAACTATACAGAAAAAAAGCATAAAGGGCACAGATGCTGGAGCAGCAAAAAATGGATGGGTCTGAGCAAAAGGAGATTAAGAGGCGATGACCAATCTAATGTACGTATAGCAGTAAGAAGCCGGCATCCGTCACAGACTGTTGATGGCAATAAGTATTTTAAGCCATGCTGTGCATGTGGTAATTTTTTATTTTTTTTTTATACCTCAGTAAATGCTAAGCTGAATGCTGTAATCCTGTATTTTTTCAGTTTCCCAAATCTGATTTTGGTCTTGTTTTTGTTGTCTCATGCTTGGTGTTCTTCGCTCGCTCTCTGTCTGTGGGTGTGTGTCTGTCTCTGTCTCTCCCTTTTCACTGAGATTACAAACTTAACTGTTTCCTAATTGTCTACTTTCCTCCGTCCTTTTCCTAAGAAATTAATTGCCATCACCACGGCCGGTCATAAGCGCGTACTAGCTGGGCTTAGGGCGTGTACCCCGGCGTTTTGGCTTTCTGTCTTTACTTCGGGGCTGCGCGGTGTTTTCTTTTGGACCTTTCCTGCAAGTGGATGCCCTTCACCTTTGCTGCTGCCTTAAGGTTGCCAAAACCTGGCTACCTGAGCCGGGACTGCGGTGCAGCACTGCATCCTGGGACCTGCCCGCCCGGCTACGCCGAGTGCTTCTACGGCACCAGGCAGCTCTGAGAATTGGCTGGCGAATTGCGTATCACCTGTCCCCCCCTCTGGTAAATAATTTTTATACCGCGAATCACAGTGGTGTGGTATTGTCTGGAAAAGTAATTCCCAAATACTGTTGGCGTAAAAAGGGAAAAGCCGAAAGACTGTCAACACCGTAAGTCATTAAAGTCCCTTGCCTTAAGAACAAAGGAACAAGGTAAAACTGCACACAATAATTATGCTCTGTGGATTTTCATAGCCTGTCAGACAACTTGTGCCTGTGTTTCAGTTATCAGCCTTTGTGCTTTGTTTTGTGTTGTGTATTTTATGTACGCGTCTTGAGTTTCTGTGTGTGTGTGTATTTGGTGTACGTGTATGTGTTCAGGCTTCTCTACCAACACGGAGCAAATACCATACAGAAAAAATACACAAGTGTAGCTCAAACATGCATTTTCAGGACTCAGTGTGGTGGTGAGGGTGTATTGCCATTGTTCTCTCGCAGTGCTCTCTCTGACTCAAGCAGCTTCTATTTTATATTTTATTTTAATTAAGAAGTCTAAATAAATAAATAAAAAAAGAAAAGAGAAAAAAAAATTTGCTTAGTCCAGTTAAATGCCAGTTGAAGTCCAGAAACTCACGGTTTCAGCACAGTGAATGGTGATTCAGACCCTGGCAGGGTTTTGGCTATGAGACAATTCCTACTTATAAAGAGCACAATGAAGGGGGGGAAAGATAGCATTAATTTTGAGGAAGATTAATATTAGTCTTTTAAGGTTCATTATTTTCTGAAGAAGTGAATCCTTGTAGCTTTTGAGAGCTAGCATGTCCTTCCCACTGGTATTTATTCGAGCAAAGGAAAAAATGAAGAAGGCGTAGAATAAACTCCTAAGACTGTTCAAGAATTACTGGCATTATTTCTCTCTACATCACGTGTGAGCCTGGGTTGCCTGCTATTCCTGAGGCAGAGGATCGAGGATGAAAGTCTGTGTGTCAGAGCCTGTTTTCACAACTGCATTTGGAGATCTGTCTTATTGATTAGGAAAAAAAGGGGGTGGGAATAGGAGTGTGAGGTGAGGGGAGGACCGACTGACTACTGGCTTATTGCAGCTCAAGACATTTTCTTCCGGAAAGATGTCAAACAACTGAGACACAGCAACAGAGGAAGTAGAAAGGTGGAAAAATAAGAAGAGGGACCCTTTGGAAGAAATGAAGGCATTCCTTATGAGAGCCTTGAGGTTTTTTGTTTTTTGTTTTTTTTTTTCTTCTAACATCTGACCCACAAGGGCTAGAGTGACAGCGTCATGCAAATACTGCAGTCCAGCAGGTCTGAGAGAGGGTGGATGCTAGAGAGTGAGTTAATGTTAATGATGAGTGCAGTGAAAATACCAGCCGATACCACCCCCTCCACACACAACTGCTCTGAGTCAGCATCCGCTGCTTTGCCTTGCCTTTTTGTGCGTGTGTGTGTGTGTATGTGCGCGCGCATGTGTATGTGTGTGTGTGCGTGTGTGTGCTGGTGACTGTGTGTGTGCATGGAAGGTAAAGCCAGTCAGTCAGTGAGAAGCAAAGGTACGTTCGAGAGCAACTAAAATCTGACTGATTTCCATCTTCAGAGCATCAGATGTATTCCCTAAAGAGGATGGGTCTATGCGATGGGGGTGGTATAATTATGTTAATGTCATATTTATAGAGGGGAGAGATTTTTCATTCTAATTATTGATTTGAAAGCTGTGGTCAAAATTGTTTGTTAAATCATGATCAGCTTTAAAAAAAGAAATTGAATGAAATCTAGGGGCTGCTATACATATATATCTCTCTCATATATATATATTTTGTTTCATTTAACTATTTTGTGTCTGAGGCATAACTGATTGAATGGTGCACAGTGACAAAGAAACGGCTCTTATATAATGTTGCATTATATCATCAGCTGAAATAATATTTTAAATAATCCAAAATGTTCTGAAATCTGAAGTATCAGTGTGGAGGGGAGGGTGAAGGGCAGGGGTGGGGGCGGGGGGCACTGGCAAATCTTTTCTTCGGCAGAGCACTCTGTACAGCTTTCTTGTAAATGGATGATTCACCTGTTCGACCAGCAGAGATTCTAATTCTTCCCCCCCTCTTCTCTTTTTTTTTTTTTTTCCTTTTTAAAGCTGAACGGCTTCCCGAAGAGCACTGAGTTTTCTATGCCAGATTCTGCTCCAGTGGCTAGGACCTTTATGGCTGCTGTTTCTTTTGCTCTGGGATCTGATGGAGAGAAAAAAAAAATAAAAAAAGCCACGGTGGATCTTGTCCCTAAAGTAGAAATTTTCTTTTTCATTCTGCAAACAAGGCTAAAGATCGGAGGAGAATGAATGCAAAAGTAATTCAGGATTGTGGTCGTGCCATTAAAAGTGTTCGGCTTCAGAACAAAATTATTCGGGAAATCCGAGCATTTCTTCTTACTGTATCGACAGTATTTGAAAGTTATGTGTGCTTTGAGTAATCTGGTTCAAGTGACAACAATCTCTGCATGTCAATGTTTTCTGCAGCTTATGGAGTGAAGTATAGTTTTGCCATTGGAAAGGAAGAAGCTTTTTGTAGCAGTCTGTAGAAGGATTAAATGTTGAACGTGGGGAAGAGGCAAAAAGTGAATACACGCCCAAAGGTTATCCTTGCATCGTGAATGGGTTTAAAGTACTCTGCAACCCAGGGCCCACCTGAACAGTAGGACTGAAAGTATAATGGGGAAATATTTCAATTAGAACCCCCTTAACAAGCATTTAATCCTTCTTTCAGGCATTAAGGAAAATATAATAAAATTGTTACTGTACAAATCTGCTGGAAGCAGATTTTTAACCCGTTTATAGAGGCTTCCCTCAGATGCATTATAATAATATGGCTGCTTGCAAGATGAAGCAGTGAAGATTTTTTTCCTGTGTTCTTTGTTTTTTCTTTTCAAAAGTTAAGGACTATACTCTCAGAAAAGTCTGTTCGGTCAGCTGATACATTGTTTGAATGTATGTATGTGTCTTGCCTGCTTATTTGATCTTTTCTGCCCCCTACTTGAAACTGTGGTTTGTTTATCTGGGGGGAAGGAGGGGTTGTTGATTTGGGGGGATGCTGTTTTTAGGGTTTTTTGGGGGGGTTGTGTGGGGTGTTTTTTTTAACAATAGCAGTGAAAGTTTTGCTGACAGCGATTATGACTACTAAGCAATTCAGTTTATTGGAAGACGAATTCTACTGGACCATATCGGACTTTTCCTAGTCCCTGAGACCCTAACTTGTGAGGTTTTTTAGCAACAATCACAAGTCAGGCTCTTGGGACCTAGGCGGAGGGGAACCAGCAGCTTTGGACTGTGATTGTTTCTCTGCAGAATTTAGAGAACCAAAGGAGCTTTCCTTGTCTCGAAGGGTAAAAAGGAAAAGATACCTATTTCAAATGTTAAGCAACACAACTGTTCCTAAAAGAAAAAAGAAAAAAAAAATCTAAACAACTGCTATCCATTGTACAACATTAGGAAGTTACATATTTATATGTTTAGAAAACTGAACTAAATGCCATGTAACATTTAGAATTAAAATTTAATCTGAATACCAGTTTGCACCTAAAAAAAAAAAGCCCAAACAACAAAAACAACAAAACCCCCCTCTCAAAACTGATACTAAAATATACAAAAGGCTTTCAACTATAGTATTACTATTACTATTATAGAAAATTCTGATAATTACCACAAAGTATAGAGTCATCCTGACTGTTGCAGCATTAACTTTTAAAACATAAAACAAAAACACTGATGTTTGAGGCCTAGAAAACATTCATTCTATTGTTTGAATAATGATTTCAGTCTACAGGAAAACTGTTGCTTAGCTTTTCCTGTAACATGGGACAAAGAGTATTTTGTAGTTAATTGCCATCTTTTTTCTTTGTCCAAGTGAAAACACAATATGTCATTTAAAATATTCTCTCATTTAATTTACATTTTAATCTGAGATGGAATATTGGTTTAAAAATCATACTACAGCATTAAAATCACTTTGCACCCAGAATCACTTTCTTGTACCTGTTCAACTTAAAGTGAGCCACCAGTACTCTAAGTACCAGACCCAACTTCTAGCTTCTCCATCACTTTTTGCATTTTTCACCCCTCTGACAAAAAGCAGTGTGAGCTTTAGATTGTCCCTCATGTGTTAAGTACTTCACTGACTTTGCATAAGAAGATTCACAAGCAAACGAGGTATTTCACAAGCACACTGTTCATTAAACTCAAACTTCCTATCTACAACACAGAATATGATTTGTATTTCTTAATATTTTATAGGTGGTTTAGTTCTGAGTAATTTTTCTCTGTTTCCTGTGTCTAACCAAGATGCTGCAAGACCTTGTTGATGCATCAGACTTCACTGAAACAAAGACTTCACACAGATCAGGCATCTAAACTATTTGTTCATTTCAGAAGTGGTATTTTGGCTGCAGTATATTTTTTCCACTTGCGTGGGAGGAATTGTGTTTTATTGTAAGCATCAACACTATTGTTAAAATAAATGGTTCTTATCTGTTAGTATAATACTTTTTCTTCTTGTCTTGTTTTCTTAAGAGACAGAAACTGTGCGCTGTACATAGTTTTCAAGTTGCTCAAGATATAATTAGTCTTTAAATAGTCATAAAAATATTGCCTTAGCAATTACAATGATGATACAGTTCCTGTAAATATGCAGTTCTTTTCTTCGTAAACTGTCAGTCCCACATGCTAAGAACACCCAAAAGAGCGACTTGCAAAAATTTAGATACAGACGTAACTTTTTAACACAGACATGATATTCAACATTGACTTCTGTTTAGGCAGTATTGGAGAAGTCAATCTGAATGTGTACAGGAAGGGCAAACACACCCAGCTAGGTGCTACACTCCTCAAGCCCTTCAGCAGCAATTGACATGTGTTCTGTACAGCAGTTTTCAATCCTGAAAACAGATTATTTAAGATACTGATCAGCTGAACAGGTATTCTGTTCATTCAAGCTGCATAATGAGATAAAACCATATTGCGTGTTGGTATATACATGTCAATATGCAATTTAAATTACGCATAGTATTTATCAAAATAAAAATCCTTATAGATTTAATCAGCTATACGGTGCACGTGTCTGTGCATATTAAAGATTTTCGTTGCATTTATTTTTCAATCGGCAAAATTTACTTGAATGAGGGTAGTTCACATTCAGCACTCTGAATTCGCTTTGCATTTAACACTGTGAGTGCAGCGAAGGTGAAACTCTAGTGTGAAACATTTGGTCTGTCAGTCTGAAGATTTCAACTATGCTCTGCTCTGCACTGAGAGTGAGAAGAAAATGAATTATTAGAAACCCCTGCCTAGTGTATTTGGTGCTACAGCAAAAAGCTGTAAAAATGCAGTCCTGCCTCTGCATTACTGCTTGAACTGGGATGACTCCAGTGGCTCTGCTATGCCCATTGTACTCAGTGCTGCCCCTTGCCATAGAGATGAAAAAGTTGGTGCATTGCCTTCCTCTTTTCCTCCTCTCTCTTCTTCCCCAGTCTCAACACAGCCAAGCCAACCTCAGGTACACAGGTAGGGCAGAGGTGGATGAAGGGGAGGGAGAATCACGGTCTCCACTCGGGCAAAATTCCCACCAAGACTAACAAGATATAGTCCTGGGGCTATGTGACAATGCCTACAGACACCATATAGAAAGCAGTCTTATTTACCCTGTGAGAGTATATGAAAGCTGTCTCTATTATCACAAATAAATAGAAAGCATCATCTTCAATATGCTATGCTTAGATATATGTACAGAATTTCAATATACTCTCATTTCTATATGACTTGATGTTGTTTCAGTGTAAAATGCATTTAAATGCTATTTAATATGTGTTTTCAGAGTAATCAGCTTGTGCTACAACAAAAACAAAAAACCAAAACACAAGCTCTTGCAAAGGGGGAGGAAGAGAGAGAGAGAGAGAGAGAGAGTGAAAATGATGTGTGGTGCATACAAAAAAGGAATGATATTAACAATTCGATGAATTCCTAGTTGGTAGACCAGACTGAGCCAGACGCATATATTAACGGCTGTCTGCTGCTGATGTGAGCCTGCTCAATGCGGTGGAAATGAAGGATCACCTAGTCCCTGACACCAGCTTATTTGTACGTTTTAATTTTAAAAAGGAAAATCACTGTTTTACATAAACATCTTAACCCCTACATGATTTTTTTTCTTTTTTCCTCTCTCATATTGTTTGCTAATTTACTGTCAACTTAAAGTGCTGTTTAGCTACAGCCCAACAAAAACATCAGTCAAAAAGCAGAGGGAAGTATTAGCTTCTCTTTTGTCTGACATGTACAATTGAGTTATTATTATGATAATTGTCTACTTTAATTTTTAGTCTTCATGGGAGATGCAACAATTTTCCAGAGCTTCATTTTGGAAGCATTTTAAGTTTCAACAAGATACCATTTCATATTTAACCCAAACAATAAAATTTAAAAAAAATGCTTATAGCTCAAGATGAGGTGATTTGATCAATTCTTTTCATTAACCTGAAAGTCTTTAGCACTTAATATAATATTACATGTATGGGGCAGGATTCCTTTTCAAACCACATAAACTCTCGGATCCATTAATACAGTGCTGAAGACTGTTACATGAGTCAAGGGAATTCCACTCCAAGTTAATTACTGTTGGAATTAGAGGAAAGAATATTTTACTCAAAGTTGTATAACAAGAATCTACAATTATCACATTTCGGGGCATTGCTCTGTTCATTTGATGAAAAATGTCAATGAAGTTTAACAGAAGATGTTCTGCCTTTCCATGGGTAATGAAAATCGGCACGTTCACAATAAGCTAACACAACATTTTCAGTGTGTTAATATGCAGTGCAGAAGAAAATTCTGCAGGCAGTAAATGTAGCCATCATTTTGATTTGCCCGTGTGATGATTAGGCTCAATTCCTGAGTGGGTACATAATTTCACACTGAAAAGCAGTCATCTCCTCTTAGGGACCAACTGTAGCCTACCAAGAAAAAACAGAATTAAAGAATGCCTGAGGTCTATAACTAGCTAGGTAGTCAGATAGATACAGACAATGGGAAAAAATATCTGGAATACTATAAAAGTGCTAGCTGAAACTGTATCGCTCGATTATAAGTTGATTTATTTTATTATGTTCATTTAAAGTATTTTTGTCCAAACAACATATCTGAGACATTCATCACCTTGTTAAAGTTTTTCATTGTTTGATGATTACAATAGGCATCTTCAGAGTTTGTTGGATGCTACGTCGTTCCATTCCTTGGCAACACTTGAGTTATTCTTACACGGTGAGTCCAGCACTATTGACTGATGTGCAAAGCTATGCTTTAATTGCAGTGTCTGAGTAGCAACAAGTGGATGGAATATGGAAGCCTTGGAGACTAAGAGAACGTAAGATTAATGAGATCAACACGGATAAAATTATTTCATCTTTATAAACTTCTTTAACCTATTAAGGAGGATTTAAAATTAATCACAGAATCATCCAGTTGATTATAGACTAAAGTTTATCTCGTAGGCTTTCAGAAATGCAATTTTTATGCCTGTTTCTACTTATTTAGGAGTTAAGGATTAGTTGTAATTGTGTGATAAACTAGATACGGTAATGATACTTTGAACACTATGAATATCCTGTAGGGAAAAAGGCAGATAATATTCTCTACTTTCCTTTTACTCGTTAGCTGTTGCACCGGGGCCGTGATTCTCTACAAGGAGCATATTCATTTATTTAAATGGCCAAGCAAATCAACAAGGTTGTGCTGAGTAGTTTAGGGCTGGTAATTTTGGTTTTGGTTTTGGGTGGTTTTCTTCCACCACCACCACCCCCAACTTCTTTTCTTGGATGTGTGCGTGTCATGCATGGGAAGGTATGAAGGAAAAACAGCTATTCAGCAGAGACACGTCCCACCCCTTTAATTAAGCTTTTCCCGGACTATGTAAAAACACTGGCAGTGTGTAAATCCCATTAGTGTGTTTGTTATTATTATTTTAACAGATTCCCAAGTATTATATTAAGTTACCTCAGTGATGAAATACATATGAAAAAATGAAAATAGTTGCATTAGTAAGTCAGTGGATACCGAAAGGGTTGGATGGCATGGGCACAGTGCCAACTGGAAGATTTTTTTTTCATTTAATTCCTTTCACCTAGTAGGCTCCTTAAGCATTAGGCAGAACCCAGTATGTGGCTAAGTTATTGCTCTAGTGTTCATCACACAAAAAGCACAGTCTTAGCATTTGTAAATTTTCTTCAGGGAGGTTTCTAATCTAGACAGCATTTGCGTTTGGGGATTACACCACAGTCTGTTCCCCACCACCTCCCCCTCTAACATGTAGCCCTTTCAACTTCTTCAAAGAAGTGGGGAAAAGTAGGTTCTTTTATTAATAGCAGAAAACAAACCGACTGCTGGACTTCCGTGGCAGAGCTCACATAATGCGGCAGGGTGGGAACTGTAACAAAGAATGCTTGAATGCACTAAACGTATAGTGAAACCCCATTTACATTCACTGATGGGGCTTAAAGTACAATAAATGAGAAGTTTAAAGTAGAAATAAGCAGGGCCATGAAAAGACTTCAGTGAAGGTAAATACTTCTTGAAAAGTTTTGCAGAGGATTTAATTTCAAACTCAAGCCTTTCCTAGTAGAATGCATTTCTTCATAATGCCTCCCTTCACTCAGAGCATCTCCATCAGATGATGGTAAATCAGATGGAGTGAGTATCTTCAATGCATAAAGAAGTAGATTCTGTTTTTCCAATTTATATACTGATTTTCATACAAGTGAGACAGTTGGCAGTGGAAAAGTCTTCATGGTTCGCTGTCTGTTCCCCTGTACTCTCTCTCCTCTGCAAACTGCCTTTGAAGTGTAAGGAACAACTTTGTGTCTAGAAATAAATTTGATTGTGGGATCTTACCATAATTTTTAGCTCTCTCTACTTCTAAAACATTTCCGTCCATGTTGGTATAGATATGCTGAAGAACTGGACAAGTTTGTTGCTTTCTCTCTGAAGTTATTCTGTGAAATAGATTCACAATATTACTACTGCGTAACTGTCACCTCTCCCCTTTTCTTCTCTTCCAATATGGTGATCATCTCTTTGTTTTAGTCCTTTCCACAGCCCCACTGCAGGGCCCTACAAGATGCCAACTTTGTTATCCTAAGAGTTTAAATTAGTCTTGCTCCCACTTTTTGCATTTCTCTTCACAGTAGTCCTTCATCCTGACTATGATGTATAAATCACCCCTACTTGTAAATTTTTGCAGAATCTGCCTCTCTTCCCTTGGTCCTGTTCAGAAACAACAAGCTGTCAGAGGTCATGTTTTCAGTTGCTAGTTGCAGTTTTTCAGATAAAGGTCAACTTCTTGCTCCTTTTGGAGCATAATAGCCCTGCTCTCTGCACGATCAGATCAGAGGTTCATTTGTGGAACATCAGATTTAATAACTGTGATTTGGGGAAGGTGGGCTATGGAATAACTTTCTGCTGCACTCTTCAGCAGAGGTAGTTTCTGCTAGTGATGT